AAATTAAATTGCAAAAGACATGCCCGGTTGAGGTGTACACATAACCAAACACCGAGGAGTTCTTTTAAGTTGGCACGAGCAGCTGTGCGAAATCGCTGGAAAACGACGAAATTTTTACGCTTAAAAGAGAGAGCGCATGTAAAGGTACGAAGAGCGTTTAAAGAGTAACGTTATATACTACTACTTTCTCTACGTGGTAAGTCTTCAGTTTGTTGAAGGTATGTAGTTATCCTGATTGAGGAATTTTATCAGTCATTTGCGCTGCATAATATAACGGTATGTTTATTAATTTATGCGCTCTCTGTTGTTGCGCTCGCGCTCACCAGCTCTACTGCGCTGGTAACTAGCTTGTGCGCTCGGTCATTGCCTCGTTTGTGCTCGGTTGGAGCTTTGCTTGGAAGCTATGTTTTTGGCTGAAAGAATGGTCAGTTCGCAGGAACACGTCAGTGCGTCGGGTATTGTTTGTCAGTGAAGTTTGACAGCACGGTGGCTAAGTGAAACGTTGTCTCTGCTACAAAAAATATACACATATAATTGAAAATATATAGTACTTACATACTTGTATGTGAAATTTGTTGCTGTGCTAAGGGGCAAGTGAAAAGTGATATTTAATAGCAAGTGAAAACTTCAAAGCATCAAAATTTATATTTTCAAATACTCTGCGGCGAAACTGCTTAACAGTTAGACATCCAAATGTAAAATCCTTCAAACTAACCTCAACCTATAAAACTCGTTTGTGTCTTGTCAGTTTTTGTTGTTGCTGGTTTGTCTTGCAGCCCAACGCTCTGCTGCGCAGTTGAGCTGTTCACACGAACTCCGCGTGGGGGAGTACGTACATTTTACTTTCCAGAATTTACGACAGGACTCACTGGTGTGTTTGTATGTATATTATAAATGTGTATATGTATATGCATATGTGAGTGCACAGACATTTATATAAATATTTTGAATGAATCTGGAATTGTTGCTGCTGACCTTCTTCTCAGTTCCTGCTCACTAGCACCTTTCTTTCTTCCATTGCGCTACAGTCTGTTTTGTGTTAACGAAGAAACTTGAGTTTTCATTACATTACAGACAAAAAATACACAATTTTCACACAGCCACACGCATGCACCTAATCGCCTATATCACGTTTTCTTTGGAAGCAGCGCTATCGAAACTTAGGCGTGTTCTAAATAGGGTGCCCTCACAGACTCACGACTTGTCTGCGCTGAAGTATTTGACAAGACTAGGGCAATACATTCACACACACACGAAAACACATTTCCAAACACACACACACATACTCATATACTCACACAGACATCGATTAATATTATTTCTTATTGTAACGAGAAAAACAAACGAAATCGTGTATGGTAAGCGCTCAAAATTTACATAATGCAAATGTCTGGTTGAATGACAGCGTTAAGTTGGGCAGGAGCTCGCCGCAAACGTGTGGTTGCGTTTTCTGTTTACAATATCTTGTATTTTGAATATTCACCTACATACATATGTACATGTGGCTACTTTCATTGTCAAGTTTAAGAAGTATTCGTAGCGGTGTGTGTGTGTGTTTTAAAGTGAGAGACGGCGATTCCATGTTTTGTTATAAAAATAATTGATTGCAAAACGTTGTTTGGAAAATGAGAAACTGAAATAGAAACGCTAAACAAAATAATTATTAACGGCGTCGTGCCACCTGTGAATGAATATATATTTCTTCATAACGAGAATTTTGTATTGTTTTTACTATAAAAACAAGGTGGCGAGAGAAACGCTTTAAAGAAGATTGTGGCGAGAGATAGCAAGAAGTTAGTGAGATTTTTAAAAAAGTGTGGTATAATATAAAAATTTTGAAAATATTGAAAAATAAATTCTTATTTGAAATTACTTAAATTACCTAATATTGAATGCTCTTCAAAAAAGGTCGAACACGATTTTTGCGTAAAGCTAACAATTTAAAAGATATTAACGGTTAAATTTTAGCATTTAACTCAATGAAAAAAAAATAATAATTTTACATTGCAAAACTCATAATTTCGTAGAAAATTTACTAAATGATAGATGCATGATCCGATTTGAATAATTTCTTTGGAGATTGTAGCATTGCCGTTATCTTGTTGCTTCGAACCAAAATTCGTGTCAAATTTCGTGCAGATATCTTGTCAAATAACAAAGGTTTTCATAAAAGCACAATATTTCGATCGATCAGTTTACAAGGCAGCTATAAACGATGCTGGTCCAATATCAACAATTCTAACAAGTGAGCAGCTTTTTGTGGAGAAAAGAATGTGCAAAACTGAGGCACTAACTCACATGCATACATTATAGAGTCTCCAACGTCCTCTTCTGGGTGTGACAAACTTAGTGGCAAACTTAATATTATATATCCTGTTTAGGGTCAAAAAGTCTTTCAAGCTGACATGATAAAACAAATATACTTTTCTAACTTCAATCAACCACTTTTCTGCTCTTTAAGTTTTAACTCTGCTCTCTTGTGCGAAAATGTGCAAGTGAAGGTAACAACAAAGTTGGACAACTCATCAAGAACAGAACAACCGCTTGCATTCCTTACTACAATAGATTTGCCACTCTGCTAAATTTATACCAATTGTTTGTTCGATTCGCCACACTCAAAGTTCTGTTTAAAGGCATATAATATATTGGGTTGGCAACTATGTAATTGCGGATTTCACTCATAGATGACTTCAGTTAAATTTTTAAGTTTGCTGGCGTAGTCCAAATGTAAAACACATTTTGTTGTTTGATAGTTGGCAATTCAGCTGTCTCTAGTACAAAATCAGTAGAAAAAGGTTTTTGATCGGTTGCGTAGTTTTCGTTTGGCGTTCGTTGAAAAATGGTAGATCAAAAGGAACATTTTCGTCATATTTTGCTTTTTTTATTTTCGCAAAGGGAAAAAGCATCGCAAGCTCACAAAAAGTTAGGTGCTGTTTATGGCGACGAAGCCATAAAAGAACCGCAGTGTCAAAATTGGTTTGCCAAATTTCGTTCTGGTAATTTTTCACTCAAATATGAAATCGTCCAGTTGAAGTTGATGATGACCAAAAAAGCAATAATCGATTCGGATCGTCACAGTACAACACGTGAGATTGCAGAGAAGCCTCAGGTATCACATGCATGCATTGAAAACCACTTAAAACAACTTAGCTATGTTCAAAAACTCGATACATGGGCTCCTCAGGAACTGAAAGAAACTCATTTAACGCAACGCATTAACAGCTGCGATTTGTTAAAGAAACGTAATGAAAATTATCCATTTCTAAAACGAATGATAACTGGCGATGAAAAATGGGTTGTTTACAACAATATCGAGCGGAAAAGATCGTGGAGCGGGCCAGGTGAACCAGCTCAAACAACATTAAAAGCTGGTGTTCGTCAAAAGAAGGTTTTGTTATCAGTTTGGTGGAATTATAAAGAAATTGTCTAGTTTGAACTCTTACCACCCAACCGAACGATCAATTCTGTTGTCTACATTGAACAACTAACGAAATTAAACAATGCAGTTGAAGAAAAGCGGCTCGAATTAATAAATCGAAAAGGTGTTGTATTCCATCATGACAATGCAAGGCCACACACATCTTTGGTCACTCGGCAAAAATTATTGGAGCTTGGTTGGGAAGTTTTGCCACATCCATCATATAGTTTTGACCTTACACCATCGGATTACTTTTTGTTTCCATCTTTACAAAACTCCTTGAATGGCAAAAATTTCAATAATGGTCATGATGTTGAATCGTACCTGCTTCAGTTTTTTGCTAATAAAAACCATAAGTTTTATGAACGTGGGATTATGATGCTGCAAAAGGTCAAGTGAAAGATTGCAAAAGGTCATTGATCAAAATGGGCAATACATTACAGAATAAAATTATTTAGTACCATGAAAAAACAGGGTCTAAAAATAATATTAGGTATACTAAATATTATCATAGACGGGATATGCATCTTACATAATTGTAACTCATCGCAAATAAAGTGTAAAAAGTGAGATGTATGAGCGTTACTACTTACAAGCATTCAAATTTGTGTCGACATCCTAATGGCGTAAAGTAGAAACAGAAAATACTTTAAGAAAAGTAAAAAGGAAGCAAATGTGGAGACGTTAAAAGCTCTCTAAAGGACAAGGTGTTATATGGTAGCTCTTATACTATTAATCAAAATTAAACCCCACCTGAAGAAGTTCAGCTCTGAGTCATGATTCTAGTACAAATTCTAGTCCTCATCTCCTGTCATACGCTTGTTAAAGGGCGCGGCACAAATACTTTATCACGGAATTATCGGCAGGCAACGGGTTTTAAGAAATACACACTACATTTGTTCATATTAAATATCGACAGCTTCGTTAGCCATTACAATTTAAATTAGGGTCAAAGTAGGGCAAACCAACCATTTCGGATTTAGTATGGTATAGAGTTAATGCTTTAATATTCCACTTATAAGTATATATGTACTTATATATTATTCTCTTTTAATATTCGTTCTTTGTAAATTGTCTTCAAAATTTGAAGCACTCATTCCGTCCTCAATATATTTACTTTCTTTTGTGCAACCACTGTCACATTGGAAATTTCTAATTTATATGCAAAACCGCTTGCCAAGTTTATTTCTGGAAATTATTATCTTACGAATTCTTCTTATATCCTTTTGCTTTTAGCTCTGCCCTATTGACTTTTATATACAATAGTATTTGTATAGCGTGTTGTACTATGTAAATTTGATCCTTTATCACCTTCATAGCGAACCGTTGAAAGTACATATTTCAGGCACAAATACACACATACACTTCATGTCCATCTCCTTCATTTGGTGGTTGTTGTGGCTGGCAATTGTGGCAATAATTATTATAATTTGCTTTCGTTTTTTACTTTTGTTTTACACATTTCCTCCTTTTGTTGGGATTAAAACTTTGCAAGTGTGATTAAATTTCACGCGTTTGCTGCATTTTTAATCGCATTAATTTATGCATATTTATGCTTTACTATTTTTTTGTTTCGTTACAGCAATAGCGAAATAAATGTGCCGGAAATGTGGCTATGCAAATTCGAATAAGTGCGTTTTAATGCAGAAATTTTTACATAATTGAAATGGCTGGCGTTCAGCTAATTTGCTGATTTAAATGAAAAAAGAAGAAGTGAAGAAAAGTCTTTAAAAGTGTTAAGGATTAGTAAAGAAAAAATATATATACAAAAAATATATGCACATATATAAATAAATATATTCACAAATATCCAGCTTTTTCAACTACGCTATTAACCTGCTGATTCGCAACAAAAAAAAAAAAGTAAATTAAATTGAAGCTTTTCGTGACGAAATACTCATTAAACAAGCTGCTTACATGTATAATTGAGAGGCGGAAGGTGAGTAAAATATTTTTTCAAATTTATATCTTATAATATTTTATTTATTTTATAATATTTTTAACTACAATTTTAATTAATTAATAATTCAAACCACTTTTAATACAAATATCAATGTTTAACAATTTTCATAAATATTTTCAATGTAACAAATTTAGTTTTAAATTTTAGCTGGATAAGGATTAATATCTTCCTTAATTATATATAATATTTTAAAGTAAAATGTCCTATTATTTTATCGCCGAAATCGTAGCCCTAGGCCAGATAAAATAGGGGTCAATTATAGTAACGTAGAACCGGCTGTAGTGGGAATTGAACAATTTTACTTGAACAGCTGTGAACCCTAATCCTTTGTGATGCCCAAAATTCTTAGATATGGATCAAAAGACACTCATATAATAAGAAACAGCTTTGAGATTATTATACATTTCATAAGGCGGTCAATATGAATTCCAGCCAATTCACAATGTTTGCCGAAGATATGGCTACTGAGATGCTTGAACTTAAGTCTAGCGAAAGCTGAAAAATGGAGAAGAAAGTGTCTGGCTGTTTCCACACCGACTTCATCCATGTAACTTTGCCATTTAGTGTCCAATAAGATCTCATGTTTGCCTATTGGAAAGTAATCAGTCAGTACTTCTGCAATTACATCGGGATGAACGTTGCTAAGAGCAACTAGTTTAAAACACCTCGTACCGTCCAATCTTAGTAAGAAGGTTCTCGCTTCAGTCAAAGTACTGCTTGTTGACTAACGTTTATCGAGCTCTTGTGAGAGCCATAGACCCAGCACTAGAACGCAAGAGAAAAACGGATGGAATTGAGGTAAGAATGCTCTCTCTAGCAAGTTCATAGAATTTGCAGTATCCGACAATTTCGCTGTCATCAGATACCTGACCTATAGTAGGATCGTTTCACTGGATCTCTATGTCAAGTTGTATTCTTGTCCCACTAATTATATCCTGAAAAGAATATATTAAGTTTGCCACAATGTTTGTAATACGTGACGAGCTAAGTCGATTTAGCCATATCCATCTGTCTATTCGTCTGTATATGCCCGAACTAGTCCCTCAGTTTTTATGATATCGATGTGAAATGTTGCACACGTTCTTTTCTCCCCAAGGAGCTTCCCATTTGTCGAAACCGCTACATATATAGGATTACTGTAAAATAAAGTTGCTATCACACATTGGTCGGTCCAAATGAACTTCTTGTATGAAAAACTTTTTTATTTGACATTATAGATATCTTCACGAAATTTAGCATAGGATATTGTCCAAAGCAAACCTACATTCGCTGACTATAACTGTGGATAGCTCGAAAAACAACATAAGTCCAGAGGCCATAACCCGATTTTTTTAAGATCTGTAAACGCGACCTGACCTATGTCTTCCTTAAGCTCTCGGCTCCAAATGGTTATTGTCAATCAATCGCAACCCTAGCATGCTTCGTTAAGCTGGAAGATATAAAGTAGTGGAGAGCAGTTGTTGCTGCGTTCTCTTACGAACTCTGACTACAAAGACGAGTACTTTGTCAGTTTCACACCAATAAATATATGTACTTATGTACTCCATCACATTTTTTTAAATTTAACCTGCTTTCGATGATTATTTTTTATTACGAAAAATGTCAATCAATCGAATAAATCTGTCCTTGCTGTGCTTGCACAATTTAAGTACAAGGGGCAAAAAATAACCAATCATAAAAGCTTAAGTACAAGAAAGAGGATACCCACAGAATTACGGTACTTTTGAATGTTCAGCGAAAGCAAAGGGACATAAAACTATTTGCTTTATTACAAACACGTATGTTTGTACTTTTATGTATATGTGCAACAAAGGGATGCATATCACGAAAACACAATAAAACTTTCTCCATTTGGCGACTAAGTACGAGCATATATTATTTACTTTCATTTTCGCTGGCTGCTCTACTTGCTGCTGCCGACTATGTTCTTTCATACAATAAATACATGGTTGGGTATGTGTGTGTGTGTTTAAAAGTACTTTTGCTGCCGGGTCCCGTATTAATAGCAGATAATATTTGGTGTACAAGCTTATTTACTTTCGTTTTTGTATTAGTATGTACAGATGTGTCTGAGTGTGTGTGTGTGTGTGCTCTTGTTTTTATATTCATTTGGTATTGTTGTCGATATCAGCGTTGCTGTGGCAGCCGTTGCTCGTTTATTAGTGTTATTGGTTTGTTTTGAACCCAACCAACCAGCCACCTACACCGATTACAATGCGCTCCAATTGCCGCCACAATGATAGGGTGGCATCATACACACACACAAACAAACAAACACACTCGAACGACATGCTGTGCACGAGCTTGTCAAAGAATATCATTATCTCTTTGGTATTGTAGTAATGTGGCTCCACTTATCCGCTATGCTCATGCATCCGCTTGTCAGTGCTTATCCTTTTTATAATTCCCTTTTATTTTTATAATTTTTTTATCTTTATTATGCCAATTATTATTATGTTTTTCATGTATTCACGATAAAAGCGTAGAAAAAAAGCGCAACAAAACTTGTTTCATTGATTGAACTCAGATAAATATACCTACATATATCTTGATGAGCGTATGAGTGTGTATTCGTATTTTATATATTTATATTTCAGTTATGTATAATTTGACCCTTCGAGGCTTTTGGGATTTCAAGATAATATAAGTCAAGTTTTGTAAAAAGTGGTACCGAGTAGATTCTTTGAACTTGAATACTTGACAACCAGTTTCCTTTCTCCTGATAACACTAATATTTACCTTGTGCTCACATGTAACCACTTTACAAAGCATCTGCATCACGTTTTAGGTTGGAAGCACAATGGTGTGAAAATAAAGTGCTGCCACATAGTAAAAATTTATGAAAGTGGAACCAAGCATGTATCACTAAAAGATGTTTACTGGTATTCTTCTTCATGTATGCCGAAAAAATTGATGTTTATGCAAATTTTAAGGGCTTTTACAAATAACTAATTACCTCTATACTGTAATTTTTACTGTCCGTTTTTGATATTGTCTACTGAAGATAGAATTTACTATAATTCTGTAATGGGTATTTTTGCGATTTCAACCCATGACCCATCAAATAATGCTACAACCCTAAGTTGTCTTTTGCACCACTACCATCTGATCAAATTTGACTCGGACTGGTCCATTTTAGCTACGCTTGTAAAGTTAAAGAAACAGTGCTTGTAAATCACCATCTTGACATCGGAGAGATACCAAAAGATGTCATAATCTATAGATCGACGCAAAACATTTTGTGTAGAGCGTGTCAATGCTAGACTCCAATCGAGGGTTATAAAAAGTGCAGCCGGATTATTCTTAATTCATTATGGAACCTCTTAACTAGAAATTTAGTATTCTTTCTCTCATTTTTCCAACTAATTGTATCAGTGGAGCCTTTTTGTATGCCATAAAGAAAGTATTTTTTTATTTTCGAGTCTACCTATGAATATATTGTTGTCTATGGTTCTTTCAATAGCTCTAGCACCCAATGTGCCTCCCTGGATAATATTTATAGCATTATTAAGTTGAATACTATATCACGAGGAAGATTTTGCTTTATATTTTTATCATCTATTGTCTACCTAAGCGAACCAGTATAATGAAACAGGTAGATTATGAGGGTTGCCTTTTATATTGCGGGATTTGAGAATATAACCAAATATTAATCATCGAAAATCACTTTTTTGCTATACAAAATACTCTCCATTAAGATCTATACACTAGTGCGTTCTGAACGCATCAACAGCCTCTTCAGTTCTCTAGAAACGGTGGCCTTATATTTTTTTTTTTTTAACTACGGGAATAAAGAGAAGTCATTAGGTGCCAAGTATGGACTATACGGTAAATCGATCATCAAATCGATTTTTTGAAAGCTCAAAAATACACTTCTTTCAGTTGATGGGTCTCTCACACTCGCATTGTCGTGGTAAAGAGTGATCTGTCTTCGACGGTTGGTTTTCCAGATGTCTTGAAAGACAGAGTTAATCCACGTTGAATGTTATAAAAAATAATCGCGCGATTCGCGATTTAATTTCATGGCCGAGATGAATATTTTAAGTTACTGTAAGCAATATAATTAGCCCTCGTATGTTAAAATGCTCTGAGTATGTACAATATAACATCGAAATTGTCAAACTTTACGATAAAGTTGTGAGTTGCCAGATTGCAACACTATACAACATGCTAAATATTATATTCAGACCTTTTGCCAAAAGCTATGCTCTAAATAATAGTCACATAAATGATAAGTTTTTATGAAAATTCCAATACATTTTTCTTTTCATAGAATAATTACGGAAAAAATATAAGACCATTATAAATTTACATCCACTTAAGCTGCAGTAAACAAATTGTCAATAGGTTGATATGAAATATTGACATTGTGACGAAATGATAAGATTACTTTTTAAAAAGATAAACCTCTATGAACCAGTACTAGTTTGTTTGTTTTGATCAAACCATAAATTGTGAAGCTTTGAACACTGATTAGCAGAGAGCACTAGTACCACAAATAGATCTAGAGTGAAGACTTAAAGACAAATATTTAGAAAATATTTCGTCAAATTGAAAACTGGCATTAATAAGCAACTACTTTTGTAATTTTCTTAGTCGGCCACCAGGAACACAGAATTGTACATTTTGAGAGTTGGAGTATTTTCTTCCATTCAGGCAACATGGCCAAACCGGCCGCCGTATTTTTATGCGCCACACTATGTCCATATCTATATTCATATTATTCTATTGAATCCAGTACTCCCCTTCGCCCACGCGTAGGGGGCCAAAAAATCCTTCGGAAAACTTTTCTCCCGAACGCGTTTAAAGAATTCTCATCGCTGTTCGTCATTGTCCATGCTTCCGCTCCATACCGCATTACGGGTATTATGAATGACTCATAGTGCTTTAGTTTGGTTTTGTTAGAAACAGCTGTTCTTTAGAATTGTCTATCGATCAAGCACCTGTTGGCAAGAGTAATTCTTCGATTGATTTCG